TTCCGATTCTCATTCGGTATTACAGCGATCATCAGACGAATTAATGCATATCGTTTAGGAAAACCTATAACTGCTGTTGGTAGTCAGCCACTACTTGATGTTTTCGTTAGTGTTTTGAAATTTTTGGTCCTTGTTGGACAATTCTCGGAGATTTCAATTGTTTTAGACAAAAGATTTTGTGCAAAATAACATAACTAGATGATAAATAAAATGATATATATATATATAGCATCATAGTTTTGATGACATATTGAGCTGTGTAAGTCAACAGTAAGTTGGATTTATTTGTTGCATTGCATGTGACAAATTGATATCCAAAATCAGAATTCAATAACAAAAAATTAGAAAATTCATCATATGAACAATTTCATTTATGATTTTTCTAGATTCTTTGCAAAGATTTTATTTATATTAATAGCAAAACAGGGATATGCATCTTTAATGTGAAGTAATGTTTTAGAAAAGTTACACTAAGCAAGCAAATATAGAAGTTGGGGAGGGAAATATGCAGCAAAATTGCCAAGAAGAAATGCAAATGATGACAACAGCTGAATCGCAGGAAAATGCCATGATGGCTCAACTTATACTTTCTTCAATTGGTTATGTTGCTAACGGTAGTCTTGGCCTTCTCGTTATAGGCGGAATAGTTAGTGTTTGGTTTTCTTTTGATCAAATAATTTCAATTTTTAGTTTTATATTTTTGTCTAGCAGTTTTAGAAATTGTTTCATTTATATCAATAATATTGTATTAGGATCGATTGATTGATATGAATGAGATTAAACAAAACTGACGCTGTCGTGGAAGCAAAAATTTGCCGTAGAAGATTTGATAATTTATTGTTTTGAGAGTGGTAACAACCTCGAAGGGAGATTCGTTGGATAGATATAGATGTAAATATGTGAAGTAACAGAGGAATATAATAATTCCTTTACTAACAGAAACAGTAATACAGCAACTTGATAGAGAGCAGTTGAAATTGAACTGCCCTGGTTCTTGGCAAAAAACACACATTACCCCCTTCAACAAGGGTGACCTCCTTATATAGCAGGCAATATGCGTAAACAAAGTATGTAATTTACAATATGAAGTTGACCTGCCGAAAGAGTAATCGTCTAACAAAGAGTTGTTGACCTGGTTTACAAGTAAATCTATTTACTAATTGACAAACTGCAAAGGACATTAGTTAAGGAAAAGTTGTTAACCTTATAGATTCAAAGATAATTTACAATTAGTGGCGACACAACAATGAGATTAACTAAATGAGGAGCTGATACCGTGTAAACAATATATAATATATTTACAGGTTAAACATAAGATTGGAAACAAAGAGGCCAAAGTATAAACATTATTGCAAAGAATTTTATAGAACATATTTCTTACTCATATTCACAACGCTCATATAATATTTTAAGAGTTTCGCGATATTAAAATCCGCGACAAATGCAAAGTGATTAGAAACTGATTAGATTCTTTCTAGAATCTCTTTTCCTATCATAACAGCTAATCACTCTATTGTTGTTAGCCATTATATATATTTAAATTATTAGCTGTAATAACGGTTATTATTAAAATTCATAGGTGTTGTGGATTCTGTTTTAGGTTTCCAAAGCAATTAGTTGGCGTTTCATTGCTGCTGGAATAGCATTATATGGTGGCTTATACGCTGCGGAATACTGGCGTTGGAATTCTGGTGCAAAAGAGCAACATTTGAAAGATCAGTTTCGGCATCATCTAAATGCAAGAATGCGTAGTGTTGCAACTACACATACGTTGCATTGTGAAACGCAAGTCTTAAGGTTAGCTCTTGCTTAAATTCACTTGAAAGAAAGTGCTACCATATTTGAATTTAATATGAATTTATTTGAATTCCGATTTATGAAATTATGGAATTTCTTTTTTTTTTTCAATGTTAATTTTATATTTAATGAAATTTTTGATCTAACTCATGATTGGATTAAAGAAAGTGATGGTGTAACTGGCATAAAATTTATCTTCGATATGTATAAAAACGTTATGAAAACTAATTAGATATTATTTGTACATATATAACTAAAAGAGTTTAGTTAATTGTTATTCAGAAAAATTGTTCATTGAATGTTTTATAATTTTGCTAAAAATGTTTTCTTTTGAAGAGAAATGCAACAAGTGCTCGGTGGCTTAAAAAGTACAGTAGGTGGTGTACATCAAGAAATGAAGACCGAACTTGATAATATGCGGAGAGAAATTGAAAAAATTGATCATGTTACCAAAGGACTTAACACAATAAAGTGAGTTTTTTATCACATTTATTTCTTTTGTATTAAGCGTGAAAGTAGAATGAGAAGTGATAATATGATTATCATAAATCTCGATTGTTGAAGTGTTACTTTTGAAGTATTCTTAATGCATGAGTTTGCATCCATATCATCATTATCTTCCAGGAGAAAAGTAGTTAGTGATTAAAATGTACTATAATATTTCGTGTGATAACATGAATTCATTTTTTGTAAAAATATGGTAGAGCTTAAATATTCCAGGGGGAAAGCATCATTTCTGAACACAGATTTGGATCGTTTTGAGAACGAATTTTTGAAAAATGGTTCACATTCACCAGTAATTCAGTAGTGAACACTGTAAAATATTTTCATTTTTATTGCATGTTACTTGTACCCGTAAACTTAATCTCAAAGTTACGAGCAACTGTAATGATTTAGGTTTTCATCACTATTTTGAGATAAGGTATAAAGAAAAAAGAGAAAAAATAAATTAAATGCGAAAAATTTCGCCTTCTTTCTAGATTTTCTATCTTTTTACTATTAGAATAAAAGCAGAAATGAAAATTTATAACCGACTAATTTTCTCTTCTTGACATTTTTTGTGCCTTCTCTCGTGCGGGTTAATGTGTATTTACTTTAGTCATTTTTGTTTTATACTTAAATTATTCTTCAAGCAGTATTTGTTCATCAATTTAGATTCGAATTTCATTCATTCTCAAACTTGTCATATAGCGTAAATTACTTCATTTTTATTGAATTTTACAACTTTTTTTATCAATGAATTATGTTATTTCAGTTTTCGTTACATGATAGTTTACTGAGACTTTTCATTTGGTTGATTTGTATTTAGAAAATTCAACAAAAGAAAAAAAATTGTAGGCATGATTTTTTTTTCTCAGTTGTGCATTCATTGTGTAATGATATTTGTTTTGGAAAAAAAAAAAAAATTCGTCTACATGTTTAAAAGCATTTTGTCACTGAAAAAAAGAAGTGAAAAGTGTGATAAGATTCTTTTACGGTTATCGCATAATTAAAAAGCTAAAAGAAACAAAAACTGAAATACTGATATAGAATGAATCAATTGGATCAGTGTTTGAATATAAATTTATTGGTAAATGATAACTTTTTCATATTAGTATATTTTCAACATTAGCCATAATATATTTGAAGTAAAAATTGAATGCTAATATCACTAGTCATAAAAGTAGCTAATAACAATAAAATTTCGGTGAGTACTATTTACATATAATAATACAGATTGTTTGCAGTTAAAGGAATCAAATTTTAATTACAACTGTTGATAGCTGTAAATGATAGCAATGTTAATGAATAATGTCTAATAGTAAAATTGATGTGTTTATCATCTGGGCTAACTAATTTCCTCGAAAAATATCTTTTGTGGTACGAAAGCATTTATCGGTGGTACACAGCTGACATCTCAGCTAAGCCTTTCCAATCCAATCAATCGATTAATCAAAAGTTGAACTTTTTGAATATTTGCTAGGCAGATGATGCATAGTAGTGATTGATCGAGATTCTACCAAATTTCATTCATGCTATTTGGATGATGATATGCCAGTGTATTTTCTGTTAAAAAGGTTTTTTTTTTTCAATAGTATGTACTTCTTGTTAACGTTAAGAAATTCTAATTCTAATTAGACTACTTCTCTTTTCACATTATTTTGATACTACTAATTATTTATGAAAGTAAACTTCAAAAAAAAAGTAAATAAAAAAAAATTCTACTGTACTGTAAAGCTCTAGCATAATTTGGATAATTATTAAAACTAATTATTGGATATTATAGATTTGATATTTTATTTTACTAAAATAATTATTTTACAATACTATATTCGGGAAAGAAAATGCTAAATTTTTTTTTTCACTAATCCAACTAAAATTAGTATAGAAATCATTGATGGGAATTTATATTTCAATTTGTTAAACTCGTTGAAGCTAAGTTATTAATAAACTTTTGTATGTATAGAATTATGCATGAATTTAATTTTCCCTTTCTTTTTCATTTTATTTGATTAATGATTGTTTTGAATGAGATTTTAATATTAATACATTTATTAAAATAAAAATAATTGAAATGACTGATGGAAATATTAATGCAATATTTCAATGAAATTTATGGAAAAGATAAAAATGATAAGTGTTAGTTAGCTGATATAATATCTTAATTAATAAGATAATAATAGATATAATTATATCGAATTTCTTGTGATCTAATGAAGTTCTGTTGAATTGTTTCATTTCAATTTTTCATTTTTTTAAAAATTAAATGATGAAAATTTGATTAAGATAAAAGATATTTTCAATCAGGTGGCACTCTTCAGATAGTTTAACGAGTGAAAATATAATCCAAAAATTCAATTCTCTCTGTTTAATATGCTCCATTACTATTGGCTGAAAATTTAAATTTGATATTAATTAATGAATTCAAATTGAAATGTGGAAAAAAAGAAGCAAATGAATTGATAAATCATTATTTTCATTTCACTCATGCACTGCAGCAAATTAATTGTAGTAAAATTTACAATTCAGTCTTTAATTTAGATGCGAAAAGTTTATTAATTTCAATTGATTGATTAAATTTAGCCCGGAATTTTTTAACAAGATGTCTTTTTTTTTTTCTTTAATCATTATTTTAGTTAGAAAGCAATCTCGAATATTCCTAATTTTTTCTTCTCATTTTTTAGCATCACAAAATTACAAGAAAATTTTTATTCTTTAAAATTATGCAATGGATGGATTTATCACAATATTTGCCAATATCATTGATATTAATCATTCTTATCATTCTTGGCTTTGATCACTTTTGTTTTACCTCACTTATAAGTCCTACTAACTTCCAACAAGTTAGTTATTTTTACATTTAAATAATTTGTTTAAAAAATTATTCATATTCTGTGACGATGTCCAAATAATTAATGATTAATTTTTTTAGGGTACAACTGAAATTGGTTTATTTCGTTCAGCAATTAATTGTACATTAATTGTTATTGCACCATTAATACTTATTCTACCTGTTACATTACCTGGTAAATTATGCGATTTTGTTAGTTAAGCTAATAAAATTTTCTAAATAATTTTTGTTCAGAAAGAAAAAAAAACGAAATATTTATAATAAGTTTTGTAAGTTTTGTATTAGAAATATTTAAAATAATTTGCCTTTTATATACTGAAATACATATTATTTACTATAATTATGATATTAATAAATCAAAAATTTTCATGAAATATTATTCATAGTAAAAGTAATTGCTAATGATAATATTAAAATGTTTTAAATGAATTATATTTTGTAAAAATGATTTTTTTTTCAGCTTTTTTTCAAATTTAAAATGTTTTATTTGTTGCAGCTGAACTGATAGTACATTATTTGTTGGGCTATGGATGCGCTGCATTATTAGCAATTTCACTAATTAGTCCAATATTACATTATAATCCATCACCCAGCATATGCTACTATATTAAATTACGATTCAATCAGTCATTTCGTATGTGTGAAAAAAAATTAAGAATTCAAAATTTTTTTAACCTAAACTTTGCAATTTAAATATTAATTTTTTAACCTAAACTTTACAATTTAAATATTATTTTTTCTTGAAAATTTTTGTTTAATATTTTAGCAATACTTTCACATTATTAAATTTTATATTTAATTTCTTAAATTTAAAATATTTTACTAAAATTCGATTTAAATAAATATTCATTAAAATTTCAGTTAAATTATTATTAACTAATTCTCTTACTAAAAGATTTATAAGTTTTGCACAATCATAAGTAATTATAATAATTGCAATTAAAGATTGACGTATTTTAGTATATTTATTGGTATGCGTATTAAATATAATTTTTTTAATGATCTTTACCGTAATATTATTGATAATGACAGTATCACTTATCACAACACGGATATCGTTCTTATCACCTTACAAAATATGTACGATATTAGGATATACTAGCATTTTTGCAATTGCTTTTGGTGGGCAAACAAGTGTTTCATCCAATGTCTTCTTTGCATCAATTTGTGTAAGAGATAAAAAAAAATGCTTTTTTATTTTTAAATTTCATTTTAATTTTTCAGTTTCAATTTATGCTTAATAATAGCAAGGAAAAATGTAAGAAATTTAATTCATAAATGCAATAAAATGGATTTATTTTAATGTTTGAATTAAAAAAATATTCAAACATTATTGCTGATATTTTTACACAAACAAATTAAAAATGTACTTCAAATTTGATAAAAATTATAAAATATTTATGAAAAATATAAAATTTTAGTTAGCAATGCTAGCAGCTTCATATATAATATTTGATAATTTAACAAATTACATATATAATTTTGTTGAAATCATATTATCTCACGATTATTTATCATTCGATTCATGGACAGCATTTTATTTGGGTATCTTAAATGGCTTACATTTTCTTATCACTAGTCCATTATTATATCAGGTTATCATAATTCTCATTGTCAGTGATTATATACTTTAGTGATATGAAACATTTATTAATGAACTATGAAAAAAAAAACAAACAAAAATCAATGAACAAAAATTGTTTATTTAATTACAAATGTTACATTTTATTAACAATCGTTATACTATTTACCGCTGATAATCTTTGATCAATTGATTGATTGATTTGTAATCAAAATGAATAATCACACTAGTAATTAGTAATAAATTACATATGTCAAAAATTAATAGTTTACATTTTCGTTGTTACTGATAAAATTTTTTTACAGCAGTACTTCTCGCTTTCATCTTGTCGACGTTTACGTGAGTCATTAGCTATTCACGTGGGACTTTTTAGTCTGTTAACAAGCGTAATGCTAGTATCATCCAATTTATTTGCTAATAAAATTAATTGGTTTTGTCAATTAAATTCATTTGCAATGTTTAATGTAAGCCATGAAGATATATCATTGGAGATAGAAAATGGATTATTCCCATCTCTAATTAATGCAGTATTATCACTTGTTGCTTCATTTGCTATCATTTTAACTGAACTTACTTTGATAAATTTAATTTGGGAAGATTTACTAAGACCATTGCTAATACGACGATCACTTCAACAGCAAATTGGATCAATACAGGTTAATTTGTTGTTAATTCTCTCTTTTACACACAAATTCAAATTTAATAATTTTTGAATCATTCCACTAAATTATTTATAAAATTATTTATATTAATCAGTGATGAAAATGAATTTAGCACAAGGAATACTAGCTAATTTTAACAGAAATTTAAGCACAAATTTAAATTAATTTATAGGTTGGTTTATTAATAATTGGAAGTATAATTATTGCATTATCAAATGCTTGGCTTTATTTAGACAAGCCATTAAAATATGGCCCAATATCGCTACTAATTTTAGGGTTAGCTTTTTTTTCGTATTCCAAATAAATTGTACTAAAATATTTATTAAATATTTACATTATAACATTTGGATTGTGTATGAATTGTTTACAATTAATGGTGCAATGAATAAATATAATACACACATTCAACTATTTATTAATAATTAATTTTATTTTTATTTAAAATTCAAATCATATTTTAGCACTTTAACAGCTCCAATGACAGCACTTTATACCTGCAGCTACCTTTTTCCATTTTTAAATGGCAAAGGAGCAACAACTGGCTTACTTACTGGTATTTTCGGTACCTTAGTGCTATTTTACCTGTATTTCCGAGTCACACCTCTTCGATTTCACCATTTTCCACTACAATGTTTTAATGAAACATTAATTACACATTCATTAATATGGGCTGACTGTAAATTTGCATATTTGGAGTTAGATTTTGCATCGACAACACTAGAAGCAATAGCTAATAAAGCACAAAAATTATTACCTATTCTGTGCGAAATACCAATTGCTTGGTACCCGTTAACTACTTTTATAGTAAGTAATTATTTAATTCTTCAAATCATATAAAAACTCAAAAAGTATCGCAACATTTTCATCTCCTATAATTTATCATTTGAGTAAACAAAAAATCTTTATTAAAAATTATATTTTTTTACATAATTTTTTCATTATTTTCAATTCAAAAAAAAGGTTTAACTAGTAGTTTGCATATTGTGGCATAAATTTCTTAATTTCCTTTTTATAGTCTAATTGATATAAAAGCATTAATTTGCTTTAAATTGAAATATTATTAAGATATTTTAATATTGATCAAAATTATCAGTGAAAATGATTGGATTAATAATTTATAATCTAATATTTCTTAAAATTAAGCAATAATAAATTAATATCTTATGTTTTTTTTTAAGATTTATAACATTTGTAGATTACTACATTATCAATGTTACTTGTATCACTGTGTACGTGTAGCAGTAATACTGATGAATTTGATTGGAAATTAATAATCTGCGCACCTTATGTTGGAATATTTACACGTCATACTGATAATACAATCAGTAATGATAAGCATGTCGCGTTTGTTGAATGCGAATCATTTCGGTTAGCTTAGTTTTAATTTAATCAAATTTTATTTTTATAATTTATTACACTATTTAAGAATTTATTTTGTTTTATTTTTTATTATTTATTTATTTATTTTATTTTTTTTTTTTTTTGAAATAAGCTAATTTACAAAAATTGAAAATTTAATGATATCCGAAGGAAAAAAAACTGTGTTGTTTAATTTTCAGATATGCACAACAAACACCATATCCGGATACGGTAACCACAGTTACGCATATGATTCAGTGATGATTATCATGAACATAATAATGATTATTATGAATTTAATGGTGATAATCATAGAACTAATGATGATTATAATGATTACCACAAGCTTAATGATGATAATCATGAAACTAATGATGATTATAATGATTACCACAAGCTTAATGATGATAATCATGAAACTAAGATGATTATAATGATTACCACGAGCTTAATGATGATAATCATGGATTTCATATTGATTATTGCTAAATATGTGTGATATTTGCTGGAGTGATTATTGTGATAACTTTTCTCTTATCCTATCATAGGACTTTCGAAACTTTTTTTGCATTAATTTCAATTGTTAACTTGAATTTCGAATTATTTCAAGTTTCTCAATTTAACGAATATACCACAATACTGCAAGGCAGTTAAATTTTAAAAATGTAATTTAACTCAACTAATTACAAATTCGTTTCCTTACTCTTTTCAAAGTATTTCTTGCTGTTATTACATCTAATATTCTATTCGTTTATATTAAATACATAAAAATATTTAGAAATTAATAACGAATTGAGAAAATTAATTTTACGAAAACTTAATTGAAATAGTTTTCTTGTAATGAAACAAGAAAAAAGAGAAAATAAGCAATAAATTTAAATGAAAAGAACTGTTTGAAACACAAACTGTTCAAATTTCTTTCATCTTTTTCTTTTTTAAATTAAATGATAATTTTGTATAAAACATTGTTTCAATCTTTTTTATTTAGTCACCGCATAATGTCATTACGTCATCTAAACGTGTAATTTAAATTTAGCAACAATACATTCGTGGATAGCACAGTAACGTGAAAAACATAAGTGATGCGTAAGTGAATGTAGAAAAAAGATCGATTATATATGATTGAAGAGAGGAATGTAACATTTATAATTGTCAAATGTTTCATTCAATCTCTTCTATCCTCAGTATAGATTGCCCTTTGTAACGAGTTATTGGGGATTCTCCCGGGGTAAAAGTTACCTGTGAGTGATCTACCTGATTGCATTTGCAAGATGAAAATACAGTACTGTCCAATGACTTGTCAAATTCTGAATATGAAAAAGGTGAAGAGACTGATAGCAGAAATGATGGAATTGAAAGTGTTGATGGCGGTAAATGTTGCAATGAATTGATGATCAAAGGCGGAAATGTCTGTGATTGTAGTAGCATTGTTGAAAAATTAGCAATAGATGACAATGAGGATGGATAATTCTGAGTGTTAATGAATTGAATGGGAATTCCAGTACCAATAATTAGTGGTATTTTAATTGGTTTACATTCGTTGAGAATTACTGATATATGATAAGATAAATTGATAAGTGCATCAGGGTGGCAATAAGTTGGAAATGCATTAATTGGTATCTGAAATAATTATTTTTAAATATCTTCCAAAAAATATCCCATTTCAGCTTCTGATGAATAAAAGGTTTTAAATAAAAAACTGCCTTATTGAAATTAAATTTCATAAATTTTTCGATATATAATTTTTCTCTTTAAAATGATATATCATTAATTTTCACAAATGCATTAGATTCTTCATCTTCCATCAAAAAACTTTTTTTTTTTAAAAAAAACAATTACATAAATACTTATGGCTTATGCTAGGAAGAAAGGTTATTCTGATCTACTTAATTCTTATCATTCTTAAATTGATTCATAATTTGTCTAAAAATTGAAGGGAATGTATAAGCATTTTCTATTTTCAATAAGAGTAAAAATTAAAGGTTACCTAAAGAGTACAAATTAAAAATTGTCTAAAATTTTAAATCTAATAGGCAAATGACTAACGATATTTTCGTCTGTAATTTGTTCGTACTTTTAACTTTAAAAAATTAAAAATACGGCAAATGACATGAATTATTACATTGCATTATTTTTTATTGCTCTAATTAGTTATTACCAATAATTTTTTTTAAATTAAAAAAATTCCAAAAAATCTAAAAAATAAGTCTAAGATTGAAGCAATAAATGATTTGTGCTAAAATAAAAATTGTAAATATGTTCATTAAGAAAATGACATCAACTAAATATGACATAAATAAATAATTGGTGCAAATTGGAAAATATTTAAAAATTTTTGAAATTAAAAAGCTGTCATTTAATTAACATTCTCATGGAAAAATTTAGAATTGCAAAGAAAAAGTGTAAGATTGAACAAAAAAAACTGTAATATGAAAAAAGCATAAAACTGAATTTAATAAATTTTTTTTGTAAAAATCATGCATGAGATATTCACTCTAAAGCCTTAAATAAAATGAAAACTTTAAAATAATAATTTCAGAATGATGTTATTCAAAGATTTTTACATGTTGTTAAATAGAAATTAAATAGCAATTTAAATAGAATTTATTAAGTACTTGCAAAAAGTGTTGAAATGCAATAATCGAACATTGTGGAATAAATGGAAGCATAAAATATGACAGCGTCTTACTCCTGTAAAATTAATAAAAATTTATTCAAAATTTTAAAATTAATCTAATACAATTATCATTGTTTGTGATGTTTGTTGTTTATACTTTAGTTTTCATAAATTATGTTAACATATTCTTCAGTCTGACTGATCGATATTAAGGAAATATCACAATATACAATTAAAATTGAAAAGTAATATATTCAGTATCCAATTAGTTTTAATCAGTATTTGAAGTATGAGAAAGAAATGAAACATAAAATGGAATGAACTGATAATAAAAGAATAATTTCTTTCTTATTTTATTTACAGTAAATCAAATTTGATTGATTCGTAATGCTGTGACACAATACGACAATCGTTTCTGATTTTAATTTATTTTATTAATCTTTTTTTTATTTTAGAAAGAATGAAATATATATGTTTAGATGTTATTGTGATTAATGAAAGACATGATCATAACGTTTAATCAAAATTTGTTTACTTTATTTGATCGTTTTTTAACAGTAATAAAATTTCATTATAATTTTATTATAATTCAAATTTGAAAAGATAAAGTAAAAATAAAAAATAAGAATAACACAGGAAATAAAATTTTTGAAGTATTAAATATCCAATATAATTATTTTTGACAAAACGTTTGAAAAAAAAAAAGAAAAATAACTAACGTAAACTTTTCATTGCCTTTACAACGAAATCGTACAACCATAATAAGTCTCACAATACCACCTTTGATTGAATTTTTTCCATATTCATTACCAATTTCACCATCAACAACAATCATTTCACCTGATAATATCATTTATTACATGGTGTCCAATTATCAAACAAATGAAATTTCAACTAATAATCACTATTTTACCGGAAAACATTATTTGTCATTGAATGAATGCGCAAAGTTACAGTCAATTTTGTTTTTTTAAGCACTGATAATCATACTGTTATATCATAATTATATTGTTTTTACTATGATTATTTTATAATGTGCTAAAATTTATGAATTAACCTGGAACAAACGCTGCTTTTGACATTTTGATAAAAACTTTGATAGAAGATTTATTGAGACAGAGAAGTTTCTTATGAAAATATCGTTCGATGTGAACTGGTATGTGAAATGGTAGATAACGAGTGATATCCATAACTGCGATCACTTTCACTGGACGCATTTGTATTAACTTCGGTCGAGCAGGGATACATAACTTCAATTTGTTTCAGCAATAATAGCAAAATGGATGTAAAATACGGATAAGAGTTGTAGTTGAATATATGTGATCATTTGTAATATAAAAGTATTAAAGCTTACTTAAGTATTTCAGTAAATATACAAATTTAAAAAAATATGAATATATATAGATGAATGGTAAAATATTCGAAAAGGAAATTATGCAGTACCAATAATATATTCGAACTTAATTTCATGATCATTTCAGCTAGAATCAAAATACCTGAACAGAAAACAAATACCTCAACAGCGATGAAATATTCTATAGAACCATATTTGCCCAAATAACTTCCCGGGCATTCTTGTCCTATTGCTAAATTTGTTTCAGCTGTATGTTTACCAGCTGGTACATAAATTTCACCATTTTCTATAGGCCATTGTCGTGTGAGAGTATCAAATCCGATTTTGAATGCAACAATTTGCCGGAATTCTATCTGATTGGAAATTTTTGTATGAAATTGACCTTTAAAGAAACCGGTCAATGAAGTGATTGGTGTTGAACGGATGAAATTCACTTCCACCAAGATTTTCAGTGGCTAAAATGAAAAAATAATAATTAATGCAATGAACTATTTATGAAACTATTAAAAAAAAATATTTTACAAATGTTTATCAGTAATTTCTTTATCACAAATATTAAAATCACGCAATCATCATTGCTTGCAAATAGATGAATTTGTAAGCATTAATCATCAAAATTGCAACTTGCTTATCACTACTTGATATCGCTATCAGTGGCCATATCAGTCTGTCTTTAACTACAGATTCACATTATTCATTAACTTTTGTTTGCAACTTTTATTTATTATTGAAAAGTTGCATGAAAAAAGAATTTGAAATTAATATATTCTGTAAAATAAGTCATTTCAAAATTACATGAACTATCATTTCTGTTTGCCATTTTTTCTTCTTCCATTCATCATCAATTAAATTCGATATCATTTCAATTTCGATTTTATTACTATTATAATTAATTTCATTTTTTGTTTTTATTTTTTAGCGTTTTATATAAATCACATGAAATTGCATTTTTTCGCATTTTTGCAAAAATTTCTCATACAATATTCATCTGAATTTTTTCTGCTGTACTTCTTTTTTCTTGTTTTTTTGTCTTCTATTTAATTTAATTATCGAACAAAGAACAATTAATTAATCAATATGAAAAAAAAATTAGAAGGAGACGAAGTAGAGAGAGATTTAAAAAGGAGACAAATACCGTTTTTATAAAGAGCTATAATTTTTAATTTTCAAGAAAAGAGAAAAAAGCAAAATAAAGGAAAACAATTTCAATAAAAGATGATTCATAACGCATTTTTTTTTAAAAAAAAAAAGATAGCCTACCTTTTTTAAAATAATTTCCTTTTAAATTGA